TAATTTCTAATATTAATTGCATTATCAATTTCATAAACGAGCACCAAATGTATTTAAAGTTCCGTGAATTCAGTAGAAGAGTATTATCGTTCTTCATCGCTTTGTTGGGTAAGAAAATTGAAGTTAGATCGGTCGTTGTATCGCTTTTCGATCGACAACCGCTCCACGGCAAAACGGATGTCAACTCGTGCTCGTAAACGCACGGAACGCGTCGTGAATGTATCCGGTTAAAAATAAACGGTGCTTCCTTGGGTGGAGGGCACCGATAAACAGCTTTAGGACAAGCTGGATAAAAGGAAACGGAAAATTTACTTTGACCCGTACCCACCGACCCATGACGAATTCTTTCTCGTTTTTTATTATTTTAAAGGGATGAGTCGCGTTTCTGCCTCTTGTTATCCAGCTTATTGTTCCTTCCTTTTCAATGGAATGTTACCTTCGGTATCATTATGATTTCATGTTTCTCTCTTTTTCGTACAGCACGCTATTTATTTATCAAAGAACCAAACCAAAATAAAATGGCTTGGTAACCTCGCGTAGAATTACTATGCATTATATCGCCACGCGTAGAATTACCACGCACTGTATCACCACGCGTTATATCGCCACGCGTGGAATTACCACGCACTGTATCACCACGCGTGGAATTACTACGCACTGTATCACCACGCGTTGTATCGCCACGCGTGGAATTACCACGCATTGTATCACTACGCGTTAAATTACCACGCACTGTGTCGCCACGCGTGGAATTACCACGCACTGTGTCGCCACGCGTGGAATTACCACGCACTGTGTCGCCACGCGTGGAATTACCACGCACTGTGTCGCCACGCGTGGAATTACCACGCACTGTGTCGCCACGCGTGGAATTACCACGCACTGTGTCGCCACGCGTGGAATTACCACGCACTGTGTCGCCACGCGTGGAATTACCACGCACTGTGTCGCCACGCGTGGAATTACCACGCACTGTGTCGCCACGCGTGGAATTACCACGCACTGTGTCGCCACGCGTGGAATTACCACGCACTGTGTCGCCACGCGTGGAATTACCACGCACTGTGTCGCCACGCGTGGAATTACCACGCACTGTGTCGCCACGCGTGGAATTACCACGCATTGTATCACTACGCGTTATATCGCCACGCGTGGAATTACCACGCACTGTATCACCACGCGTGGAATTACCACGCACTGTGTCACCACGCGTTGTATCGCCACGCATGGAGTTACCACGCACTGTATCACCACGCGTGGAATTAGTATTTGCTACATCACCTCGCGTTATATTGCCATACGTCGAATTTCTACTCATTACCAAACCAGGAAAATAAAGAATATACAAATACTATGTACATCGTTTCAATAACACTGATTGCACTAAAATTTATAAATTCCATTTGTTGAAATTTGTAAATTTATCTTAGATTGTGAAGTTAGTCATCCACGTAATGAAGAGCATTCGAAGCAGCAGTAAAATTTTCAAATTAATATGATTCCACCTTATCTTAACTACTCTTTCTTGGAATACGTTAAAAATTAAAATGCTGGGAGCAAATAGTCTCGTCACCTACATTAGTCATCAAACTAAACAGCGAACGCTGTTTATTAAACCTTCCGGATTTTAAAGTTGAGTCACCGATCGTATACTACAACTCGTGATCCGAAATCTCGTCTGGTCGAGTTACTTCGTAAACATTGGTCCCAAGGTTTTATTCTGCTCGCAGATTTGCTCGAAGAATCCATTATTCGTTCGCATGAAAGAAAGGATGGATGAACGTTAATTAGACTGGATATTCTATGGATGGTAATTAACCAGGATTTATTCTTTCGAACAAACGAAAATTTTTCTTCTCAGATCATTCGCGCTTTTCTCTTTTTTTTAACGAGCCACGGTTTTCGAAAAGTTTCTTTCAGCGTCGATGATCAATGTAAAAAGATTCGTTAGAACGAAATTACTGAAAGAAAAGGAGAAAATATTTGTTGGGTCAAACTGTGCGGGTTAATTTTAAACTCTTTCTTGAAAGATACAAGATTAAAGTCACGTTAAACTTTGGAGATGCTTTTGGTCGTGGCTGAAAATTTCAATTGCATGGAACCTGAAAGCAAATGATTCTCCATGAAAAATAACTCAATTATAGAATAAATTGTTTTCATAGATTGCTTCGTTTTGGAGAAAAACGATGCTGGAATTCTGCCAGGTTACACGTGCAGTCGCGTCGGTTCACCACAATTCTCCATCAAAATCCTCATTCGGTTCCGGTTCCTCCGAAGTGTAATTTAAAATAAGGAAGGCCTGGAACGGTTCTGTTTATACTAAATACTGTTGGAGAACTATTTAATTGGCCGTTGTATCTATTATCGAATTTGTCGACAATTTCTCTCTCGATATACTATACGTAACAAAAAAGTGTTCTATGATTCCGTACACCCGGTACATTATTCAGTGAAACAGAACTGGTCGATTTCTTCGTGTGTTCGTCGAGCAAGCACGGTTCAAAGCGCGTTCAAAGTTTCCTCGATGTCGCGGCGCAATTAAGAGGCGTGACAGCGTTTTTCCGGAAGCGTCTGATCCCGGATTAAGGTCGGAGGTGGTGTGTTCCGGTGTCGGTGGTGGGATCGAAACCTAACCGTGAGACACGAGCTAGAACATTTTACACAACATCGTGGAAAGTTGTTGTCACAAAGAGGGAAATATTGTTCCTACGTTTCTCGCTTCGTATTTTTCTCCGCTTGTCTCTGGTTGAATGAAAATGTACGTGCTCGTTTTAACGCCGTCCTATAGATGTTGACATCGTTCTCCTTTTTTCTTTTTTATTCGACTGCACCAAGTATTCTGTACCTTGTATGTGGTTGACCGTAGGTACAAATTGTTCGAGCACTTTCAATGATAAATTCTCGTTAGAAGGTGCTTTCGATTACTTCGCGTTATATAGCCGTGTGTCGTATTGCTGTGCAATTACCGTGCGCTGATATGTTACGAGTTGTCTTCATGCGTGAAGTTACCGTGTGTCGAATTGTTACGTGCTATATCACCACTTCTTATATTGCCATGCGTGGATTTACTACTTGTTATATCGCCGCGCGTGGAATTATTACTTGCTATATTACCACGCGTGGAATTACTACGAATTATATCACCACACGTTGTATCGCCACGCGTTGTATTGCGACGCGTGGAATTACCACGCACTGTATCACCACGCGTTATATCGCCACGCATGGAATTACCACGCATTGTATCACCACGCGTTATATCGCCACGCCTGGAATTACCACGCATTGTATCACCACGCGTTATATCGCCACGCCTGGAATTACCACGCATTGTATCACCACGCGTTATATCGCCACGCCTGGAATTACCACGCATTGTATCACCACGCGTTATATCGCCACGCCTGGAATTACCACGCAGCGTGGAATTACCACGCACTGTATCACCACGCGTTATATCGCCACGCGTGGAATTACCACGCGTGGAATTACCACGCGTTATATCGCCACGCGTGGAATTACCACTCATTGTATCACCACGCGTTATATTGCCACGCGTGGAATTACCACGCGTTATATCGCCACGCGTGGAATTACCACGCATTGTATCACCACGCGTTATATCGCCACGCGTGGAATTATTACGCACTGTATTACCACGCGTTGTATCGCCACGCGTGGAATTACTACGCACTGTATCACCACGCGTTATATCGCCACGCGTGGAATTACTATTTACTATATCACCACGCGTTATATTGCCACGCGTGGAATTACTACTTGTTATATCGCAACGCGTGGAATTTGCTATAACACCACGCGTTATATTGTCATACGTGGAATTTCTACTCATTACATCACCACGCGTAGTTTTACCATACGTTGAACTACCACTCATTATTTCGCCACGCACCCAATTATCAGACTTGAATTATTACGCGCTACATTGGCACGTGTTATATCGCCATTGGTATCACGACGCGTGGCATTTGCACGTGTAATTTTATCACCCGCAGCATTATCGCGTTCCATATTTCTAGCCGTTTTACTAAGAATTTTCCCTTTCTACCGTTCCACTGGTTGCAATATAATGGAAGTCTGCTGTATAATAGAATTTAACAAGCCGAGAATTAAAAGAAGGCGACAGAAATGCACGGAATGCGTTCGAAATGCAGCCATGCACAACAGGAAATGCCGCAGAAGGAAATTGTTAAGTCGACTGGTAGTCGAGTATGCGACAGGAAGTCCGCGTATTTTTTACTCGCATTAGTTAACAAACTGCCTTGATGTGTTCGTAAAACTGGTCGGTTCGTTTTGTACGTGAAACGAGAGAATTAATTTTAATCGGTACCATGGAGGTTAGTTCAATTGTTTCTCGTTAAGTCGCCCAGCACGAGTATGGCGAGGATAGAGTGTTTGATAAATGCTACGTGGGAGGGTCACTCTTTTGTCACACTCGTGATGCTTCCCTCTCAGCATTCACCCCTGGAAAGTTCGTCGCTTATCTAGATCGAAAGACGAGAGCGCACCAGGTGAAGGACTTCCTTTAAGCAGTAGGGAGAAGCCTGCTCGGAGATTTTTATATAACTGAAAGGGAGCAGAGGAACTAAACATTGTACAAAGACGAAGGTTTATCTTACCCAGCTTAGTTTTTACTAGTCACCACGATTAATACGATATCAATCTTCTCGACGTTATCCTAGTCTTAGGTTTTTCATATCGGAACACGTACGAGATATCGCATAAGCCTCGTCGCAAAAATTAATAACGTTTGACGAATCTTTGAGACCCACAGTCCCCGTATTGTTCGTACCGATAATAGCATCGCCCCAAACGATCGCCACTGCTCTAGAACAAACTCGTTCACGCTAATTACTCTGAAATCCACTCGAAGTAAATAACGGAGGGTCAGTCTGATCCCCCAAGATGAAGGGAGGAGAATGTAAATCGAAGGAAGCCATCGCGATGCGATTCCTCTGACGCGTTCGTTTCTTTTTCAGCAACTGAAAGATGAGCTGGGCGAGGTGGTGGCCGAGATGGAGGCGATGGAAGGCGGCGGTCTCGCAGCCGACGAGACGAAGCCGTCGAACAAGGCCAAGCAGACGTCCATCGGCCGCAAGAAGTTCAACATGGACCCTAAGAAGGGCATCGAGTACCTGATCGAGCACAATCTCCTGGCACCGACCCCAGAAGACGTCGCTCAGTTCCTCTACAAGGGCGAAGGACTGAACAAGACCGCGATAGGCGATTACCTTGGCGAACGACACGACTTCAACGAGAGGGTACTCCGCGCGTTCGTCGAGCTGCACGATTTCACGGACCTCATCCTGGTCCAGGCCCTTCGACAGTTCCTCTGGTCGTTCAGGTTACCCGGTGAAGCTCAAAAAATTGACCGAATGATGGAGTGCTTCGCGCAGAGGTACTGCCAACTCAACCCGAATATATTCACCAACACGGACACCTGTTACGTCTTAAGCTTCGCCATCATCATGTTGAACACGTCCCTTCACAATCCCAGCGTCAAGGATAAGCCCAGCGTCGAACAGTTCATATCTATGAACCGTGGAATCAACAATGGCGGCGATTTGCCTCGTGAACTACTCGTGGTGAGTGCACCTTCGCCATTTCCTAAATCACGCTCGCCGGAAATTATTTTCCCTCAATAGGATGGACGATTTTCGGAAGTTGCAAATTTGGGGAAGTTAGAAGGGAGGTGGTTGGGGGGATTGAAATCTGAAAATATTCAAATTTAGAGAATTAAAGGTTTGGATTTGTTGGAATTGAGAGAAGTGGACATTTGGGGGATTGAAATCTGAAAATATTTAAATTTAGAGAATTAAAGATTTGGATATGTTGGAATTGAGAGAAGTGGACATTTGGGGGATTGAAATCTGAAAATATTCAAATTTAGACAATTAAAGACTTGGATGTATTGGAATTGGGAGAGTTAGAAATGTAGGTATATCAGAATTTGAGAAGATGCAAATTTGCCAATGTGAAAATTTGGGGAGTAAGGAATTTGAGAAGGTGGAAATTTGGCAGTATGGAATTTGAGAAAGTGGAAATTTGGTAATATGGAATTTGGGGAGTAAGTTATTTGAGAAGGTGGAAATTTGACAATATGGAATTTGAGAAAGTGGAAATTTGGTAATATGGAATTTGGGGAGTAAGGAATTTGAGAAGGTGGAAATTTGGCAGTATGGAATTTGAGAAAGTGGAAATTTGGAAATATGGAATTTGGGAAGTAAGGAATTTGAGAAAGTGGAAATTTGGTAATATGGAATTTGGAGAGTAAAAAATTTGAGAAAGTGGAAATTTGGCAATATTAAATTTCAGTCGGTTGAAATTGGTAAGCAGAAATTTTAGGTATATTAAAATCTTGAAAGGTGGAAATTTATAAAGCTGAGAATTTTTAAATACTAAAATTTGGAGATTCAGAAAATCATCTATCCATCGCTAAACTAATCAATACATATTGGTATCTGGTATGAAATAGTGTCCAGCTGAATGCATTATCTGCGTACTTAGTATTCAGCCTTGGTTATCCAATATATTCTATATGTATTCCATAAAACAGCTATTATCTCCGAGTAACTGGCATCCGATACCAAGCATCCGCTTTCAACAACCGTTGCTCGGAAATCAATAAACTTTACAAAGATTTCAATGAACGAGTTTGCCATCGTATTGATCCTTCGAACGTAGATCTAAATGTGTGACGCAAACGTTTGCCAAGAATTTTAACGTTCAACTTCTGATTAATACGTGAAACCGTCTTACGTCACCGACACGAGACACTTCAAGAATGTATCCATAACGCCGTGGTAACATTGCTTTAAACACATTTGTAGGAAAGTTGTTATTTGCAATTTAAAATGGCCACTTGCATCGGATGTTTGAGCAATATTTTAAACGCTGCTCGATTACGTTGAATCGGATGTTCAATGAACATTAGTATCGATTTCCTGTCATGACCGAGGTCTCAACATAAGGATTTCCAGCGACGGAGTTTCACTTAATCATTAGGGGGTTGCACGTTATTAAACTAACGAAAGTATCGTGTCTGCAACATTGCTCTAACTACGATCTAAGACCTAAGAATTGCATGTTGGCAAGGTTTATGATACGTCAATCGCTATTATATCATCAACCTCAACTGCGATACACTTGACTTGGTGCACGAAACGAGTCGTTGCACAAAATACCAGAGCCTTTGTATGCATCGTACTCTCTGGATAATCTGAAGTCTCGGGACTTAATTTCCAAATTCGATACTGCCATATTTCCACCTTCTCAAATTTCTTATTCCCCAAATTCCATATTGCCAAATTTCCACCTTCTCAAATTCC